GAATCCAGTGAGTGTGAACTGTGTGAAAGAAGTGACCTGGATACAGAGACACGGACACATGGGGAGATGGCTGTGTGAACACATAGCCAGAGATGGGAGCGATGGGGCACGAAGTCCAGGAGGTCCTAGAGATTGCCAACAGCCACCCAACTAGGAGGAAACAAGGGAGCAATCGTCCTAGTGCTTTCAGAAAGAGAAGTCTCCCTTCAGACGTCCCACCTCCAGAACTGAGAGAGAATAAGGTTCTGTGGTATCAAGTTCACCACCTTTGTGACACTGTGTAGTAACAGCCCTGGGACAGTAACATAACCCACTATATTTAAGTAGTAACCTCCCTCCAGTTGTGACAACCAAACTGTCTTGAGACAATTACTAAATGTCCCCTGAGATGCCAAATCATCCCACTTGAGAACTGAACAAAATCTAAATCTTATCAAAAATAACTTGGTGAGTAAAACATTTTTAAAAGCCCTTGAAAACAGCAGAGACCATAGTCAAATTTTTGTTTTTTATTAAGAATCTTACTGGGCATGAATTTCACTGTTAAAATACAATGAATCATGCAGAGGAAGTTCTAACATGAGTTTCCACACTGCCCTTTGAAATGTATGGCAGAAATCATATTTTAAAGGAAAGAACAATTTGTTTATATTTCCATCTGAATAAGTTTTTTTTTAAAGATTTATTTATGCTTACAGAACTGGGGTACAGGCCAGAGGTGTGGTGGGTGAGAGGATTCACCAGAGACAGAGTGGGGAGCAGAGCAGACAGATGTACTGAAACACACTGCTGAGGAAGCAGGGGACGGGTGAGGAGAGGTCTGCTGCGCCATGTGGGCCATTTTCCTGGCTGGGAATCAAACTTGTGCTGCAGTGGCTCCTGAGCACTTCATAATGTGGTGCTTTAACCCATTGCTAAAATACTTAAATATTGTTAAAATATTTTAAATATCTCTCACCAGGGAGAGCCCCCGCATCTGATTAGTTTTAAAAATAGTTTCAAAGGCTATATAAAAGTGCTTCGCTCTTGTCACTAGACTTTTTAATTGTTCTTTAACATTTATTTTTACTAGTTTTAAAGTGACTTTCTTGTTCAATAGTTCCATGCTGTGGGCAAAATATGAATTACCTATGTGGGCTGTTTCCTGTCCTTGACTTGGAAAATCTCACTTATACCTATTGCCGGTGGGAATTTACTTCCTTGACAAAGCATCTTTTATCTTCTTAACAAAGTCTCTTTGGAGCTTAGTGTCTAGGACTACCAAGGTAGCCTTGTTTCCCCCCTTGTCTTTCTGCTACAGCATTTAGGGGCAGGATATAGCACACTGTATTCCTAGAACCCAGAAGTAGAAGCCTGAATGTTCTTTTTAGAAGAAATACTGGTAATTAGATATTTTTATGCTGTAGTTCAGCCTTATCACTGCGCTAATGGCCTTTTCAATTTGGCATGGAATCTAGGGCTATCTATAGTATTACTTCCATGAGAAATTACATTCTGAATTCCAAACTTCTTTTTTTACAAATGGTATATACCAATCATTCCTAGGTTCTAGCGTTTCTGCAGGTGAGGTATATTTTTATAATGCCATCTATCGGAATGCTGGTAATAAGTTTATTAAATTTTTAATTTATGTGTATTGAAAGCAGCCCATACATATATAAATGAGGGAAGGGGGTCGGAGTGATTGATTTCCTTATACTAGCTTTTGCACAAACCTTTTCTCTAAATGAAATTCTATCCTTCCAAGATTTTAAAATACAATAAGAGACTTGGGGGGATTTAGAGAATATGCTTATTCTTAAACAGGGGTGACTTGAACTTATTTTCTGATTTAAATAAAATCAAATCTTACAGCCCAGTGCAGTTTTCTAGAGTTAATTGTTCAATTGTTTCCTTACCAATTTATTCAGTTAAGTGGATCCCAGGGTGAATGTGTGAAGTTGTTACCTCAATATTTTAAGTAGAAATCACATTATGTTTATTACATTTGAAAACATTTATGCCACAAATTATAAGCCCATTTAGCAATGTCTATGTTAAATTGTAATATTTGAAAGACATTTAAATAAAGATCAATTTACTATTGCATATGAAATGATATCAGGTGAGAATTTAGGACATTATTAAATTCTTTGTTGCAGCAACCTTGTGCCTCCTTTTCCTTGCAGAGAGGGAAAAAAAATATATTTTAATCTCTGGAACAACTACTAGGTGTTTTTCTTTTGTGTTAGCATTTTTGCACTATCTGTAAGATAATACTCAATGGAAAATTTCCAGCAATGATTAAGAAAGAGGTAAATACAAAAACTGGAGGAATGCGTGGTACGATCTTGGCACCATTACTCAATATTATGCAACTTTTCTGACTCTCCCTGCTGTCTCTGTGAAAGGAGACACCAAGCAGCAAGTCAGTGGCAAGACTTGGATTAGGGTACAGAATTCTGTTTCTCCATTTTTTATTTCTTTTTGTGACTCAGCCTAATCCTTGGAGGGAAGTATTCAAACTACATCTGCTTGAATGTCAGGCCAATTTCCTTTAGACATTGGTGGACTCAACCTTTTGCCAGCTGTCCTCCTATTGACAGCAATAAGGTTTACATTTTTACTTTTGTTATTAAAAGATATCTTGGCTAAACAAAGGACTTTTCAGCTTTACTCTTTACTCTTCTAACAACTCTGTGGACTGCCCTGCTTTTCCATACAAGACATTTTGTGCGTATTGCCTCTTAAAGGAACTTTCACAAGGCAAAAATCATAACAGTTACATGTGATTGTTTTTTTTTTTTTTTTTTTTTTTGTACTGGAGGTTTATACAGTGAAATCTTGGACCTAATCAGAACTTTAAAGAAGAGGGTGAAGTTAGGAGAGGTGGTGGTGACTGGTGTATGGGTGTGATTATATTTGTATAGGACCTTATTGGAAGTGGTCACCACAGCTAATATATTCTTTAACGCCTCACACTTCTCTACTCTTCAGACTTGGTTATCATTTTCATCTTATTTTTTCAACTTTTTTTAGCTTTATGTTTTTCCTAGACTCCTCTCCTTGTTCTATTGCAGGGCCTAGGAGGGCCCTTCAATCTGGGTCCAGAAGATGAATTTGAGAAAATAACCCTCAACTCCAGCTCAGTCACTATCTCTATTCCACCTCCTGAGTCCCTCAAAGATGTAGCTCACATGCCAAATTTATGAGCTATCCAGACTGGTTAGAATCAACATTATGAGTATGCACAATGCTGAAATTTTCATAACTCTCCATCACAGCACCTAAGTCCATATTATTATGGCCCATGTGACCCTCTAGGGCTCAGCTTCAGACTCCTCATCAGCACGGAGCATGCATGAAGTACTTTGTATATTAACTTATTTATGTGAAATAAGAGCAATGATGCCAGTATTTTTCTACCTATGTCACTCTTACTGGTGCCCCTGTGAGTAGTAGTAATAATATAGGATAGCAGGTCATCTTTAAAGGGCGATAGGCTTGTTTCAGGGGTAAGGAATGTGGTGAGGACTCTCAACATTGCTTTTAGCCCCACAGTAGGCTGAGAAAGAACAACTCCCTAGCCAGGAGGCAACATAAACTTAAAACTAAAGTTATGTTTTGCAAGTTTCACTCCACAGATGATATAGTAGAAGAGTACCTTCCTTACTGTCTGCACCTTCCTGGCTTCCCAAGCAAATAACACTGTGCCCAGAGTGTGATTAGCACCTGCCTGGATCTTTCTGAATATTTTTCTTTAATACAACTTCTAAGTGAACGGAGTCCAGTTTTTTGTTTTTCTTTTTCCTTTCTGTATGTGTGTGTTTGAAAGAGAAGAGAGTCTGACTGTTGCACATGGTTGGAGGAAAGATTTTATGTTTCTGATGGGTCAGTGAAAAACTCAGGGCATATTTCCCTGTAGCATTACTCACTATCAGGTGGGTTCAGTTATTTAACCCATTTAGGAATTGTTTTATGGGACAGTACATTCCACTTTAGATTTGAATTAACAAAACCTTTGGGACACAGCTTACTGGTAGCTTACTGGTTCTGCCAGGTAGGTTTTTTACTTGACAGGATTGAAAACTGCATGAAGGAGCTGAAGGAACAAAAGTGATTGTTATTTTGATAGTATTTTTCATACCTGTAAGGAAGGGAAAGAGCTGGAAATCTAATCTTGCTCTAGGAATAGCCTTCTGGGCAGAGTATAAAAATAGGGAGGAAAATAGCCAGGTTTAATTTAAGTTGAATGAAATGTTTAAAGATGCAGCCAAGGTTGCAATAATAAGCCTTTTTTCCTTCTCTGACATGTTTGACAGAGATGGGATGGTTTTCTGGGGAGGGAAGGTCTGTTGCCCTAAAGTCAAAGAAATAGCCAGTGTGAGGAGAAAAAAGCAGCTTTGAGTAGAATGTGAGAGGTAGAAATGGAAACCTTGTTTCTCTGATAAAAGTTTTCAAAAGGAAAGAGAAGTGATGGCGGCAACCCGAAGTGACGTTGATAAGGGCGACTGAACTGCATATGGAAGGGACTTTGTAACCGGACTACTGCTGGGAGCAAGCCCTGCAGACTCCACTGTGTATTTAATCCTGGAGCTGTGTTTCCCAAAGGTCACGTGTAAAGCTTCTTTGTGCCCTTTATTATGGTCTCTGTCCCTCTCTGTTCTTGCTGCTCTCTGCTTCTTCGTTCCTTTTTTCTCACACTCTTCCCCAGTGCCTCAGTGGCTTCAGTTCCTCTGTTTTATAAAGGAACCCCAGGAAGTTAAAAAAAAAATGAAAAACTTTTTTCCTCAAATTTTCCTATTGTAAATCATTAGGGAGTTCTCAGTAAAAACATAGAAATAATTAGAAATGTAATAATATTTAATAGTCTGATAGTTTTCTGAATATCTGAGAAGCTGATAAGACCTCATTATCCAAGCCTGCTTGAAAAACATTTTCATTAACAGTATTTCGAAGTAACTTTAGATCAGCACTTAACTTTAATAATAAATTGTAATCACGTTCTTTTTTTTTTACAGCTTCACCTTTTACAAGTCTACCTCTCCGAGAAGAAATGATGGCAAAATACACCAACTTTTCTTTGGAGAGTCATAACATATCACTGACTGGTAAATGTATCATATTTCAAATAACACTGTGCCTGAGAGTTTTTATTTTTATTAAATAGAAACTTCTTTCTTGAAGTACCAACTCCTGCTCATGGTTTGGTGAAAGAAACACCAGTGTGTTACCCAATTTTAATCTGATAGGAGTCATTTAGTGAATACAGAGTGCCCCATGTACGGGAACACAGCAGCGAATCCACACGGGGTGGGGGCGGAGGCTGAGAAAGCTCAGGGGAAACCTTCAGGACACCTGGGAAGAGAAGAAGCTTCACTTTCATTTGCAGGTTTTTGTTTTTGTTTTGTTTTTGTTTTTGTGGTGATAACATTGGTTTATAAAGCTGTATGTGATTCAGAGGCACCAGATAATACCTCCTGGAATGGGTAACACCAAACTACAACCATCACCGATGTACCCATAGTGCATCACGGGTAGTCCACTGTGTCCCCTCCCACCCCCCGTGACACCCCTTCTTTTCCTCTTGTATCTCAATTCCACAGTCAGATTTATAAGAATTGTTATAGATACTTTTATGTTTTCATCAACTCTCGGTGGTACATCAAACCACTCCTTGTTGATGGAATTTATGCACCACTGGAACACCTTGAAGTGGAGAAATTAAAGATCTATCCCAGGAGTCAGTTACAGAACTATGGGAGAACAGGTAGGGAATTGTGAGAGAAAACTCAGCTAGATGTTCTCTGTCATGGTTTTGAGTTCCAGAGTTTCAAAAGTCATCTCAGAGTAAGAGTAGATCTCTTTTTTAGTAACAATATTAGAATGAAAGTATATTTAGAATTTAAAATGTTTCAAACTTGCTTAGTAAGTCACTGAATTTCAGCCCCTTGTAAATACGGGCTTTAACTGTCCTCTGACCTTGAGATCTGTTTATGTATTTCACTAAAGTCTGAATAAAGAGATGACACCATCCTGCTGCACCATCCTCTGATGCCATTGGAACATTTGCACTGACCTTTTTTTTTTTTTTTTT